AGACAGCTGTCTCCAGGCTTCCAGTGCAGGCTCTTTAGCTGCCTGATATGGATCCCCACAGGACTGAGGAATGCACTCCAGGCCTCCACTTCTGATTGGGTGCTTTGGATCTCCAGTGTGCAACTGGCCCTTCTGCAGTCTTCCACACAAGACTCTGCAGGTATCCTTCCTTGTAAATCATAAACTATGATACCTAAGGGTATGTATCATACATTAAGGTCAATGCAATTCATCACACTAAGAGATACTAAAAAACTCATACAATCATCTTGATGCACAAAATTTGACAAAATTCAACACCCTTTCATGACAAAAAATATTAAACTAGGTGTTGAAGGAAACTTCAATAAAAGCTACATGTGAAAACCCTACGGCTAACACCATACTAAATATGAAAGTCTACAAGCTTTTCTTCTAAAATTAAGGATGCCTTCTTCTACCACTTCTATTCAGTATAGCACTAGAGAATCTAGTCAGAACAATTAGGCAAGAAAGAAAGAAAAAAAGCATTCCAATTGGAAAAGAAAAGGTAAAATGTTATCAAGGCTGGATGTGGCGGCGTATTACATCAGTAATCCAAGCACTTGGGAGGCTGAGGCAGAAGGATCACCTGGAGTTCAATGCCAGCATGGAATACATAACAAGTTTAAGTCCAGTCTGAACTACACAGTGATTCTGTCTCAAAAAAAAGTAATCAAATAATTCAAATAATTTTTTGTTTTCCTTGAAGAATCAAACAGAAGATAATCTAACTATGTAAGAAGGGGATATTTCACTTATAGGCCCTTCTGAGGAATTTTGTTAAAGTTTCTGTGGGAGAAACACTGGCATAGTGATGTTGAGCACTAAAGATAGTAATAAATTCAAGATTAAACAAAACTAGGAATGAGGATGGAAGAAAAGCTTGACAATTTCACATGACCTGAGAAAGTGCAGGTAACTTGAAAAAAGAGAAGGGATAGAGAGGAAGAGATGGGAGTCAAAGAGTGTTACACAAAGTGAGAATCCACTAGAAGCCTAAGGAATTTGAAGAAGGGGGCCCAGGGATATAGCTTAGTGGTATAGCTCATGCCTCACAGGCACAAGGTCCTGCGTTCGATTCCTGATACCAAAGGAAAAAAAAAGAATTTGAAAAAGTAACTAAGGATTTTATACAAAAGATTAGTGCTTTCCCCAAAAACACTAATTGAAAATGAGTAATTTTATAGAAAGGAAGCCTGGTATATATCACTTCATTACCAAGGAACATGATCAGGAACAGATTCAATTGGATTACGCTGATTTTACCTGATAGGATGGATGCAAGGAAGTAAAGCTTTTTTTTTTTTTTTTTTTTTTTTTTTTTTTTTTTTTAACTGACAAACTGTTCCTGATTGAAGAAAATAGAGGACTGAATTTTTTTGATTTTGTTTTTTAAAAAGGAGGTTGATGCTAGCACACGTGTAATCCCACCACTCTGGGAGGCTGAGGCAGGACTGCAAGTTTGAGCTCGGCCTGAACATGTAGGAGACCAGTCTATCCACCAGTCCCAGGAAGTGCCACTTGTAGGAACTGAGTCCTGCTAGTTTGGCACCCTGACCAGGGATGAACAAGGATGAAAGACAGTCAGTTTAACATGCCGGGCAGCTAGGGGACTCCTGCCTCTAGCAGATTCAGGATCCCCAAACATCTGGCTCACCTGCCTTTATTCAGAAACAAATATAAACAATCACAGTAACACAAGATTCACCTGTCTTCCAGTATCCATAAAGACATGTGCCAGTGAACAACAGAGGCGGCCAATTAGGCCCCACTTCTGTCTTCTGACAAGGACAATCAAGCCATTTAGTGAGATCCTATCTCAAAAAATAAACAAGGGAGGGGGCCAGAGGTGTAATTTAGTGAGAAGGGTGTGGACTCATTCTCCAGGATTACAAAGAGTAAAAAGGTCATTTGAGAGACAAGTGGAAACTCCAAATGCGATCTGAGGATTAGATAGAGCAGTAAGGTTAGCTCTCTGAACAAGATTGCTGCATGTGGTTTTATGAAAATGCCACTGTGGGAAAGCATCTGATCAAAGAGAATGAACACCTGGGATGAAGAAAAGGACAAAAGAAAGAAGGGGAAAAGATATACAAAGGATAGCATGGATGACCAGACTGCTTTCTCTGGAGCAGTTAATGCTTAGTTTTTCTTCTCCTTTTTAATTTCTTGTACCCTTTTTTTTTGACCAATTTTGCATGCTTACATCTGGTAATCTAGACTAAGTTGAAGACATTATGCAATACAACCACCATTGTTGAATTTCTATTATTTTGTTTAGTGAAACTGTTATCATTCTGGTTTTTAAAACTTTTTCATTTTCTTTAAAAAAAATAAAAAGCAAATGCCTTTGTAGAGATTGCACATGTAAAACCCGGAGGAACAAAGGGCATCCTCTGGGCACTTTATTCTCAAAAGGGTTCAGAAAAACAAACCTCAACTCTTCACATACCAGAACAAAGTGCACACAGGCCACACAGTCACGTATACAAAATCACACCACCTTAAGTCCGGGAAAAACATGGGTGCATCTCCTGGAACCGAAAGGCTGGCAAAATCTAGCTATGAATCAGAACACAAAGCAATGTAAGATTAACAAGATTCTAAAATCAAGCCTCCTGTGTAGTAAAAAACGTATACAAAGCAGCTGACCCAATGGGAGATTTGCAAAATAGGTCATAAAAGAGGCAATCTTCCTTAAAATAAATGTGTAAAACAGTAACCACTCATCAAGAAAACTGGCCAGAAGTCACAGTTCACAGCAAAATGTGCATGACTTCGTATGTATGAAAAACTGGAGGCAAAGCTGTCTTATCCATCAGTGCTCCATCGTCTTTCCAACGCCTGACACGCTTAGTGAATTACAATCAGCTTTACTAACATAAAAATAAGAATACTGAGTGGAATTTAAGATTTCCTTGAAGTTCCTAATATCCTAACGAGGAGGTGCAGTTAGGGTAATATATTTAAGTCACTTGAAATAATTTGTTTATATCATTAGTTTGATTTGCAACTGTTATTTAGTTTTCAGATTCAGGATTTTCTTATTCCTTTATTTAGTGCATTTTTAAGTAGGTGAAACAGTTTGAAATTCAAACATAAAAAGATACATGCAGAAGTCTTACTTCTATCATGTTCCTACTTCTTTCCACTACTCCAGTCCTGACCATAAATATGTTTCTAATTTAATTTCCAGTTTCTTTTTGCAAATATATTGCCTTATATGTATGCATAAACATTATTTCCTTTTTCCTTAAGCTTATACCTTCTATATCTTGCTCCTGTGTTTGGTTTTTATTCGACAATGAAACCTGGAGATTACTAGAATGTACTTGCTTGTTTATGACTGCAATAGCCTCTATGGCATGGATTTTATTAAAATAGTCAAATAATTCTCTAGCTTTAAAATGACTATGCAAACATAGAAATGACTAAGAAGATTGTTTATTTGTTCACCCACAGTTGATCACTAATGGCATTCTGCCAATTCCACCTTATTGCAACTCCCTCTTTTTGTTAGACTAAAACAGAATTTAGATATGCCATTTTATTTAAACAGTCCAGTGTGTGCAAAAGGGCATTTTACTTTCCTAGAAATAACTCAAGTAGCACCATGTACCGAAAACACTTTATTGTAATGTGTGGTTTCAGTCCATGCTCTGCTGGCCCCAAGACAGAAACATCAGAGGAAGCACACGGTCAGCAGATAAGCCTGCTCATGGACAGCAGCTGGGAAGCAGAAGGAGTGTGAGGAGGGGAGATGCAAGCACAGGCCTGGGGACAGAACACAGCCTTCAGCCACCCTTGAGGCTCCACCTCCAAATTGCTCCTTTGGCTAGGAGCTCACCAAGCACCACTCTACTGATGAGGCTGGTGTCCCTATAACCTGTCCCCTTCCCAAAGCCCTCCCTCCAAACACAGGAGCTTCTAGGAGACATTCTTCCAAACCATCATAATATCCCAGATACTTGGGAGGCTGAGCAGGAAGATCACAAGTTCAAGGCTGGCCTCAATTTAGCGAGCCCTTATCTTAAAATAAAAATTATAAAAGGGCTATTATAAAATAGCTCAGTAGCAGCACAAGCACATGGCCTTGGGTTCAATCCCCAGTACTGTCATAAATTAAAAGCTGACCTTCTGCAAAAAAAATATTCATAGAAGTTTAGACATACCACATTCCTGCTTGCTTTCCTGCCAAACACAGAAGAAAAAGCCAAGTCCTCATCTTTTTTAACTCAAGACTCCCCCGCTGCTTCTCATCTACTCCCAGCAAGATCCCCTCTTCTTGGCTGGCCACTTTCTTCTCCACAGTGACAGCTAGGTCCGCCTCTGGAGAGACGTTCACCTCAGACACAGACACTTACTGCCCCTGGTTTCCTGACAGCTGGCAAAGGCACAATGACGCACTAGCTGCGACATAAGCTCCAGGAGCCAAAGGAAAACCTAAGAGATTACTAACTACATTTGCTGAGGCTTTAGGCCACTATGCCTATTTTAAATATTTTAGGAGTATTTAAAAATATGTATAAAAGGAATTACTTATCAACAAGAGAAATGAAATGCTAAAAATTTGTTCTATTACTGAAATATACAAGCCCATTTAAGTAGGTGAGACAGAAATGACACCGGGGTATGTTTTGTTCCCAAAGAAAAACATTCAGTGTAGGGCTGACCAGATAGCTCAGTGGATTAAAGTGCCTGTTCAGGCAGACACAGGGGCCAGCAGTTTGATCCCCAGGGGTCAGGGGTGCGATCCCTGAGCCTGGCATGCTGGCCCGGCCCCAGGGGTGCACGGAGACGGTGATTCAGACTGGGCATGGTGGTGCGCACCTGTAATCCCAGCACTTGGGAAGCTGTCAACAGGAGGATCACTATGAGTGATCTATGTAGTGACACCCTGTACTATTAAATATAGTGTACATTAAGTATACTATTAAATATGTGTATTTTATATACATATTAAAAACAAAAACATTCAGTGTAAAATATGAACAATTTAATTATCTTTAAATAATACATGAAATAATTTACATGCTATACATTCCCAAACACGATGAACAGAAATCCAATTTTATCAGACAAACACAATCTACTTTTCGTAGACATATACCCTATGGGTCACTCAGGCTGTTGTCTGATTTCTATGTGAGAGCACATAAATACATTTAGATGTCTAACACTGAAGATTATGATAACAAACCAAAAGGTTGAAGGTGAAGTCTGATATGAACAATTCCAAATGTACGATCTGCCTGGAACCAAGGTACAAAGCTTACCTTTGTGGCTGGAAACATTAAGTTCACTTTCCTAGTGCTTATATATGGAAATAGGATTGATTAATCCCACACTATATTTAATGGTAAATTTTTCTTATTGTTTAAAAAGAAATATTTTTCTTATTATATAAGGTATTACAGAAATGCACTGGAAAAATACACAGGATCAGATAAACTCTTCCAATAAAGCATTTTCATTTGAAAAAGATGTGTCTGTTCACATCTAGTATGACAGATACAAGTACAACAAATACTCATGAAACAGTCTATGCCAATGTCCTAGTGCCCTCGAATCCTACCTCACGCCACCCATGCTACTCACAGTCTCAATTTTAAAGTCATCTGGGTAATGCTGCCAAATACAACTGACATTTGGTTTGTTAATTTAAACATATGTACTAGTACACAGTAATATAATACAGAAAAATGAAATTCTTGCCTAGAGTTTAAGTTGCTTTGAAACATTAACTAGGCTCTCCTTAGTTGTCCTTTACTTCTTCTCTATTTAACAGAAGAAATGGATGTTCCATATAGAAAGCACTGCTTTAAAATTCATGCAAAGAGCAAAACCTAAACTATCTACACATCCCTTTTTACTTTACCCAAAAGTTTTGGGTGCAATGTTAAATATTCCAGGAATGGCAATTCCTTAAGTGATAAGGCAGTGGAGAAAAACAAAAACAACGTATGTACTATTATTCATTGTTCCTACTAACAATTTTAGTGCTTCAGCTCTTTAAACTTAGTTATAAAAGGATTAAAACCAACCACAAAGAATCAATAGAATTCACATGTAAAAAAGTCAAATGTGGTTATACATAAAATCAACAATACAACCTGTGAATAATAAATCATCCCATGTAGCACTAAACAAATTATAGGCAGAACAAAACCTCCAGCTGCACTATGGCAGTGAGCAGGCATGAACTAAAAGGAGAACTTCAGCGACTGTTCGCATAGGAGGAGTGAGGCATGCGACTCCTGCAGTACAGGGAGTGCGATGCTTAACAGATAAAACAAGGCCGGCCAAAAAAAACAAGGCATTCTGCTCCATGATATAAAACTTAACGGTAAAGAATGAACAGATTTTATTTTAAGGCTTTCTTGGAAATATTTTTCATGGCACTTCAATATTGGACAGCACTAAAAAGCAAAAATATGTAAATATTAATAGTTATACAGTTACAGAATTCAACATACATGCCACGTCAATTAAAGGGTCACCCTGTCAAATTTTGCTTTCTTACAATAAAATTACATTTAAGAAAGCTATTTATGTCTAGCTGTAATTAATGTAAGTCATACAGAAATGTCAATTCACAGGTATACAGTATAAAGTGTTTTTTAAGTACATCTACAAAATCGCAGTCATTTCCTACAGAATCGATTTCATTTCTGTCAGGAAATGTAACAAGCATTTTCTCTCACAAGAGCAGGTATTACCAGCTCTCAACTACGGTTATCGTTACACAAGTTCTTTTTGGTCATGGGCCCCCACCATTCTCACATTAATTTCCTGTACAACAGTCAAGTCCAGAAAACACTTGGAGTCTAACAAGTCATTCTTGCCACACCATACTCTAAGCCTACCACAGCAGGTTCTGATTTGGAAAACTCCTCTGTGTAGTCACTGTAACGATTATCTGTCGTGTTGCTGCCCTCTATAGTTCGAAGTGTGTCAGTGACGGGTAGCAAAGTCTGCTCTTTAAGACACAGGGAGCTTTTGCTGGCAGGCAACACCGGATGAACTGAATTTAATGATTCCTTGGTGAGAATGTCTTCTGTTTGCTTATTTCTGTGCTGTTTAATTTTCTAAAACAAAAATTTGAAAAAAAATTACCACAGATACTTCACGGTCATATATATGTTAAGAGAAAAAAGAAAACCTACTTTTGCATGTATGATATGAAATTAAACCTTAAAAATTTAAAATCTAGTACACCTAAAGTAAAAATCCCAATTGTTTATAATTTTTGTGGCAGAAAATGCTTAGTTATGCTTTATATTTTCCAACAATCCAGTCAGCCAGGCTTGACTGCAAACGGCTACTCGGCCTTCACATTTGAAGAGGATATACACAACCTACAAAAGTATTACAAGAGCATCTGGGATGAATATACACTTCTTAGATGAATAAAAATACATTTATGAAAATATGTGCAACATCACTGGTCATACAAGAAATTCAAATTCCATTTCACCCAAGAAATTATTACTGTTATCAAGAAAACCAGTAACAAATGCTGGCGGGGCTGTGGGGGAAAAGGAACTCTACTCCACTGTTGGTAGGAGTGTAAGGTGCAACTACCAGTGTGAACATTGCTCAAAAAAGTTGGACTAGATGTTCCATCTGACCCAGGCATTCCCCTACCGGGTATCTTTCTGAAAGAATTAAAAGCATCATACCACAGCAATACATGTGCACCTATGTTTACAATGGCCATTTGTAATAGTCAAATCTTGGAAACAGCCCAAGTGCCCATCAACTGGTAAATGGGTAAAGAAGTGGGTTTTTTACACAATGGAGTACTATTCTGCCATGAAGAAAGATAAGCTTGAGATAGCTCTAGGAAAATGGATGCACCTTGAGTTCACACTCTTTAAGTGAAATAAATGTGCAAACACTGCAGTTTTTCTGGTGTAAGAAACTGAAAGTGTATATAAGGACCACAGTATATAACAGGTACTGTGAAAGAGAAAGACAATGTTCAAATGAGGAGAGAAACCTAGAAGAGGGGATGGGGAAAGAAGGTAAAAGAGAGAAGAGGAGAGGAGAAAGAGGAGGAAGAGGAAGAGGAGGACAAAGAAGAGGAGGAGAAGGGGGAGGGGAGGGGGAAGGGAAAGGTAGGGAGGGAAGTGGTGGGGAAGGGAAGGGAGGGGAGGAAACAAACCTTTGTATATGGGGAGGGGAGGAGTCATTGAAGGGAGAGCAGGGGAATGAGGAAAGAAAACCAAGTCATATCATGTACACATACAAATTCTCTGTGACAAATGTGATCATCATGTATATCTAAAATGTACCAAGAACACATGATTGAAAACAAGTATTTCAAATAATTTTATATGAAAAAGAGTATGTCTAAGACATCCTGAAATCATAACTATATAACCTAAAAATCCCACTTAACTAGCTAAAGTTCTGGCCAGTTGTGAAGAGCTTCTCACAGGGTCTTCCTACAGCGGTTCATTAAGGGAACATAATAGGCCTTAGAATGAAACAACTTCTTTTTCATTTAACAGAATATTTTATTAAATGCCTGCCTAGCAAGTGCAAGGTCCTAGGTTCAATCCCAGGTTCCCCCTCCCCCCCCAAGAATATTTTTAAAGTGTCCTTTGGCAGACTATCATGCTTTAGAAACACCCTGGCTCACCTCCAGATAATCATTTGCACTACCCATATTTTGGGCTTGCCTTTCTTTTAACATACACTTCCACAAGTCACTCAAGTAGTCACTACTTCCTAAGAGATGAGGGGACAGCTGCCCGAGGAGCAGACAAGACAGTCTTATTGGGTTAAATCATCTCCCTGGTATTTTTAAAAAATATAGTTCCATACTTACTTATCTGTCCTGGTTATATATGAGAAATAGGAAAGACTACAGCAAAATCTAGGGGCAGAGAGGGATCTTAAGACACATAAAACATGACATGAAAATTCAAAACATCTACATAAAACATACCATAAATGAAGTGGAAAAGAGAAGAATAGGCTGGACTACGCTATGTGCAATACGCACAGCTGACAGAGAATTACAGTATGACACTTAAGAACTGCAAAGCAACAAGAAAGAGGCAGACGGACCAAATGAAAATAAGCACAAGTTTGAACAATTTAGTCACAGAAAAGGAAAAGCAACAAATATGAAAACTCATTCAACTTTTGTTATTATAGAAATACAAAACTGAAAACAACTTAAATATGAAAATTAAACTAATTTAGTATTCCAAATATTGGCAATAGGTATTTCAGAACACTTACCGATTCTAGGTCTTTAATGTCTTCCTCCAACCGTTCATTTTGCTCATTCATATTCATAATTACATTGAATACAGACTGCCTAGGATGCAATGGTCGATCAAATTGGTGGTACATGTTTCTCCAAAACCTTTGTGACAAGATAAAAGCTATTACCAAAACACAGACAGAAACAATAATCTCTAGTGGGTGACTACAGTTCGCCCTTTTCTATATTTTATTAATCACCAGAGAAGTGATTAATTCTAAAAGTTCACAGGCTTAAACACATAAAGATAAAGAGATGTAAATGTTAATTGCTGATTTGATCAGCACACACTGTGCATAGGTACAGACTGAAATAGCACTTTATATCTCAGAAATACATAAAATTATGTTAATACAATATCTTTTAAAATGTGAAGACATATGCACACTAACTACTCTCATTGTATACATGTACTGAATTATCATCCTGTACCCCATAAATACCCCAATTAATGGAAGAAGTTTTGTTTTTTTAAATCGTACGAGAGATTGAACCCCCAGACTGTGCGCTGACCTACACCCCTATCCTCATCAGCTTTTTAAATTTTGAGACAGGGTTTCACTAAGCTGCTAAGTTTTCCAGGCTGAGCTTGCATCTGTAATCCACCTGTCTCATCCTCCCAGACCGCTAGGATTACAGGTGTGCATCACCCCAAAAGCTAATAATTAAAATGAGTTTGAGAAAGATAGGATACAAATATTCTTTTATTTTTTTATTGAGAAATAAATATGAATGGGACAGTTTCACAGATGATTAATAGGGCAGTTTTGATAATCAATACATTGTACATTGTTATCTTCTTAGTGGTTATCCATAGTACAAGAAGCAGACAGGATATTCTGTCCAAAGGTAGTACACCTCTTTACATTCTCTTAATGAACAGAATGATTTGTTCTAATGGTGTTTGTAAATAGGATATCAAGTCCGCATCTTGTATAGCAATTAACCACTAAGAAGAACGTATGCAGTGTTAATTATTGAAATTGTCCTACTGATTTGATTTGAAACTGTCTCATTGCTGTTTATCAATAAAATTATGGCAAAAAAACCCCCCAAAAAACAAAAAGTTAGTACATCTCTTTCTTCTCATTGAATTATGCGAAAGTAGCTGTAAATTTCTCCCATTTTGTATATATAAATACAAAATGATCTTTCCTTTGTAACCTTCTATTGTCTGTCAGAGGTGAATATTCTATTGGCATCTATATACTACGGAGTCTGAATTCAACTAAACAATCTAACACTGTCTAGCAGTCTATAATATTAGTGGGTTATCCTCACAAGTTATTGACTTGAGCCTTTTATAGCTCATTGTATTAATATGGCTTCACTTTATATACCTCGTTTTTATATTTTTCTACTGAATGGTTAAGACCAAGATATAGGGGCTGGTGAGATGGCTCAGTGGTCTAAAGCACCTACTTAGAACAAGCTAAGCTAAGCAAAGCACAGGGACCGCAGTTCAATCCCCCAGCACCACATGCCAGCCAGCCTCGCCCCTTGGTGGGCTGAGCTGGCCACATACACACAAAATAAATAAATAAATAAATAAATAAATAAATAAATAAACAAACAAACATAAAATTGAAAAAAAAACCCCAAGATATAGCAAGACCTATATAACAAGAAATGTAACTTTTGTATCTGATAAGGTCAGCCAAGTACTCTCAGGATTTATCGTGAAGCCCTGTACCACCCTTTGTACATCCTTTTGTCAGTGTCACACATAAGGATGAGTCACAGCCATTGCTTGACCAATTTGCTTTCTGTGAAAGCCTGAGAAAATGTTTTCTCTCTCCATGTGACTCTCCCCAGGCACACTATACATCATCAAACACATTCCTCAGTGAAACAAATATTTCAAGGATACCAACTCACTTAAAATTGAAAGAGACTGTATTTGGCTCCAAAACTGTAAACCTCTGAGATTTGGGACTGTAGAGAGGATTCAAGTACTTCCTCTGTTCATCCAAAAGAAATGGCCACAGGGAGTAAGTCTTCTCCTTCAACCTTAATGTAATAAGAGAAACATACAGATCTTTCAAGGAGATGCAAAGTACTACTACTAACACTAATTTGATAAACCAGACAATTGTTTCCAAAGTAGGTTAGGTTTTAATTTTTTTCACTCACAGTCTAAGCTCTTGTCTTTGTATCCTACTTTTTCCTTTTCACTCACAATTATGTAATAAAACCACATCTCTTGAATACAACACAGGTATGCCATTTTTCCTACAACTATACACTTAAGAGATTCCTTTCAAGTCATATGATTTTTCAAAAATTTGGGTCTCTATTTCACTTATTTAAAATTACCACACATTTATAAATGTAGAGCCACATACAAATGGAGCTCGGCTTGCTTAATTGCTTTACCTCCTGTCTGGGCTGTGGAAGCAAGCACCACAGGCAGGACCACATTTATATGTGAAGTAGAAACTGGGAAAATTTAAAGGAAAATAGGCAAAATCAAGGCATCATGCAAAGGTGTACATGCCAGTCACACTATGTGTCAAAGGCCTGGTGGGAAAGGGCAGAACGGTGGTGAAGGGTATCCATCCCACATAAACAACATAGACTGGAAGCTGGGGAAAAGCAGACAATCTCATTTTTCCAGGACTCCAAAGAGGTGTGGCCTTAGAGAAAAACTACTAGGAAAAATCTACTCCCAGGACTTCAGGCACTAACTGAAAAAAAGTTTACCTTAAAATGGCTCCAAGGGCCAGCAAGATAGCTCAGTGGAATAAGCGCCTGCTTAGGTAAGTGCAGGGACTGCAGTTCAATCCCCAGCACCACATGCCAGGAGGATCACTACGAGTCTGAGCTACGCAGTGACACCCCGCACCAAATATATAAAAATAAATAGATAAATAAAATGGCTCCAAAAAGCTCCAAGTAAAGCTGCCTGCACCAAGTCTAGATAAACTATTGTTAATGACTATAGCACATCGCTAAGGACTCGGCACTTTTTATTTGTTCCTCTCTGCCATACTCTTATTTTTGTTTCCTTTACTTAACCTTCAGAATTCTCCAGGTGCTCTCTCAGTTCTGCTGCTATCAGCAGCATGAGTGCATGGCCGTCTCCAAACTACTACAAGATTTAGCTACTCTACTACATTATTTGGATGGTCAAGAATCTTAAAACTGCTCCTTACTGCTACTGTTAGGAAAGCTAAGTTCAGAAGCCAAACCTAAAAATACCTCAGATGTCTCCTGCATCAAAATTTAGCTAAAAACTCCTATCTTCTGAGACTAGTTCAGAAAGAACAGGTGAATTAGGGTCCCACATGCAGGCACACTGCAGCCAGCATAAGTACATTTATTTTTCCCAAAGTATTGTCTGTTTAGGAATATGCAAAGAGCCATAAGTCTCCATCTCATCTTAAAACAAAGCAAGTTTTAAATCTTTTACCACACTTTAAAAACAGTGACTAGTGCTTCCTAGGAAATAAAGTAATAGAAAGCTTCCTCTGTCTTGAAATTAAATCTGAAAGTTATTAACCTGGAAAAGGAACATGAGAAAGTTTCCAGGCTGCCAGCAACGTTTCTTCTTGCTATGTGCAGTTTTCTTTAAGATACATTTAAAATGTGTTCTTACTAGGCCCCTGAGGGTGTAGGTTAAGTGAGAAGGGCACTTAGTTTCAGAAATACAGAGAATAAGATTTACAATAATTCAGTTCTGTTTTATATTGTAAAGACATCTTATTAAGTCAACTATGATTTATGGTTATGGGACTTTAGCTCCAAGGGAGAAAAAACCCATTTTCATTAAGTCATCTTACTTCAGTTCTTCTCTTTCCTTCTGACAATTTCCAAGGAAGTTTCCAAACTGGCATGAATGAATATGTTCATGGATCTGGAGAAGAAATGCCTCACTGAATTCAAAAGCTTGTGGAAACTGTTCCATCAAATGCCACACACATTCCAAGAACTGAGTAAATACTGGTGAGACTTCCTTTGGGTCACCATCCAAATGGCCACACCTAACCCCCAGAAAGCACAAGTTTTTAAAAATGCCCTGAAAGAATTCCATTGTGCAGGTAATAATAAACTTAAACATGCATACAAAAAATAATAGTAAAAGCGTATTAACATTTAACACCCCCCCAAAAAACACAAACTAATATTTCTTTTTATCATAGCCACTATAGCTATAGTTCATAGCTGTAATTTTAAAAGATCTACTGCTTTTTAAATATTACACTACAGGGGCTGGCGAGATAGCTTAGCGAACTAAGTGCCTGCTTATGCAAGCACAGGAACTAGGGTTTGATCCCTGGTACTGCCAGCCACCAGGTCTGGGCATGGTGGCACATGCCCATAATCCCAGGGCTGGGGAGGCTGAGAACAGGAGGATCACTATGAGTTCGAACTGTGTAGTCAGACTCTGTACCAACTTAAAATTAAAAAATAAATATGTACATAAATATTACACTACGGGCTGGGAAGATAGCTCAGTGGCCTAAGTGCCTGCCTGGCAAGCCCAGGACCCTGATTTGATCCCCAATACCACATGCCATGCAGGCCCCACACCAAGCCAGCAACTGGAACCAGGCATGGTGGTGCATGCCTGTAATCCCAGCACTGGGGAAGCTGAGACAGAAGGACCACTGCAAGTCTGAGCTGTGTAGTAAGACCCTCTATCCAAAAAATAAATAAATAAATAAATATAAATAAAAATAAAATAAATAAAAATAAAAAATAAATATTACATTATTGGAGTTGAGGATATAACTCAGTGGAATAAGCACATGCCTGGCAAGTGCAAGGTCCCAAATTCGAACCCCGGTACTGCAATAAATAAATAAATATTACATTACAGAAAAAAGGTAATAGCCTCAAAATTAACAAATGTGTCAGAATTGAAAGAAATGACAGAATATTAAATCTCACATACAATACAGTACACCCATCTTCTAGGTCATATGTGTTCATTAAGAATAGAAACATTGTGGCATTCTAATTTTATTAGTCATAAATGTATAATTAACACTCACCTCTCTGAAAATTTATGTCCAAACGAGATCCAATCTTTTTCTATTAAGACCTTAATGAAAAAAAAAACAAAACCATTTTTCAACATTTTATTAGAATGGATTGAATTCTATTAGCTTAAAAATAGTATTATGCTTTTAATTTATTTTTCCAAACAGAATACTCTATAGACAAAAGATAGAACCTGGGATTAAAGGTAAGGCGTAAGAGTAAAAATATATATAAAAAGAAACAGATGAGTCTCACAACAAAATATGTCAACTGTGCAACACTGTGAGGGAAATGTGCATGTCAGAGGCCGGGGAGATGGCTCAGTGGAATAAGCACTTGCCTGGCAAGCGCAAGGGCCTGAGTTCAATCCCCAGTTCCACCAAAAAAAAAAAAAAAAAAAAAGAAAAGAAGTGTGCATGTCATAAAGCAGTACTGCACTTAAAGAGTTTTGTGTAAACAAATATGGCACACAAAATGCTAGGAAAGTGTAAACTAAAATGCTAGCAATAATTAACTCAGAGGGCTGGAGAGATGGCTCAGTGGTCTAAAGCACCTACTTGAAACAAGCTTGGCAAAGCACAGGGACCGCGGTTCAATCCCCCAGCACCACATGCCAGCCAGCCCCGCCCCCTGGTGGGCTGAGCTGGCCACATACACACACAATAAATAAATGTAATAAAAATAAATAAATAATAATAAAAAAAGGCCTGTCATCTTAAAAAAAAAAAAAAATTAACTCAGAAGACAATGTTTAAACCTTTGGCATGTATGTACAATACTTATGTACAACTTTTTAAAAGTATATTTTAGTACAGGTTCTCACTACATACATTGGACTCCTAGTGATCCTCCTGTTTACAGCCTCCCAAATGCTGGGATTACAGGCACACACCACCACACCTCAGCATACCCCGGGGAGCAGGGCTGGCACGGTAGGCCCAGGGATGGAACCCCTGACTCCTGCGTCTACCTAAACAGGCTCTTTAATCGGCTGAGCTATTTGGCCAGCCCTCTTATGTAGAACTTTTTGAAGGAAAAAAAAAAAAAATCAATGATAAAAATACCAACAACTGAAATCTAAATGTTGATATTCATTCTCTTGAATAGACTATCTTTATCTTCCTCTCTGTCACATCTTCTCTACCTACCAACTCCACTGGAATAATAAATTTCCAATGTTTTCAAATCCAAGCAAAATACATCTAGATGCTTGGGATGCAGTTTCTGGTGCATGTGCAGGCGCAAACCCTGGCCTCACTACTTTGATTTCACGGAACCTTGGCCAAGCTATCTTGAGGCTGGAGTGGCACATTTGACTCTGGGTCCTCCATGTTCGTGTACACACTGATGCCTAAACCCTAACTTGCAACTTTTTCAAGAAACCTGCTTTCTGCTGAGGTGAGTGCAGAGCAAGAAAGCAGCACCATTTATCCAGGAACCAATTCAGGAACCTAGAAAGCCTCCCAGAGGACGACCCTTTCCTCTAGGCCACAACCAATCTGTGACAAAGTCTCACTTTTATTTTTATTAGTCCATGTTCACAGTACAAAATGACTGCACTTGGCGTGGAGTTGCTATAAGTATATATATTACATCTCAATTCCTTTCGCATCCCTGGCCCCTTCCTCCTCCCTCTTTTCTTGGTCCTTTTCCTTTCTGCAGAAGATCTATCTCCTCACAAGTTCTGCTTCCTCCTTTCCTATTATTTACCTTTGGTTTTGCTCTTCATTTATATTTTGCCAAGCAATCTTTTTTAGAAGCACTTATCGAGTTACTGTTTCCTCTTATGAAAGCTTTTTGATGGTTTCCCTACCCAAGGGGGAGGTCACAACCCGCCTTTCTTCTTCAGGCTCTTCGCCCACTTCACTGCCCTGCGCCAGCCCCTTCTCACACTCCCCGACTGCCACCCTCACACACCACCTGCAGTCACCTAACAAGGCTAAATTGAAGGTGTTCCTGTGGCTCAGGAAACTCTGAGTGCACCTGGTCATTTGTTATTTGACTTCATGTGGAGGTCTGGCAAAGAAGGTAAAGAAAATATTCATTATTTTACAATCTCCAGGTAAACTGTACATTCAGCTGTCAGGGGAAAGGGTGTAAGTGGAACATTATTTTCTTACTAGCACTATAGTCCTCTAATTTTCTTACCTCTATTTAGCTTGTTCCAAATTCATCAGTAGCACAAAATAAAGGTGCCAAAAAGGGATTGGTGATTTTAAGTCTTTTCTTAGATGATACTGTATTTAAAAATCTAAACACAAAGCCCTTACAATATGCTTTAATTTACTTACCAAGAGTTAAAATGTAAAATCCAAAAATTAATTTGATCCTAAGATAAAAATATAAGCCAGGATTTTATTTTCCAAAAGTGGGAACCCTTTTAATTAAAAATTTAATTTTCTTGTATAAAACATGCTTAATATACTGTACACCTAGCAAATGAAAGTGTTTTAAATAAAAGTGCCTTCCAGAATGCAATTTTAAAGTACTCGTGCCTTGTTTTACTATACCACTTAGGCTGTACAGCAACATTCCTGGCCTCTGTCGGTATATGCCAGCTGTGCCGCTGTGTTAACACCACAAGGTCCCTGTGGAGGACAAAATCACTTGTGTCTGAGAACCATGGTTGAATTCAATAAACCCTTACCATGAATCCTTTGATCGTCCTGTAGTATGAATCCAGCAAAAGCGATCCAAGGGAACAAACCTGGGAGGTCCTATCCCACCCATCAGAACAATGTACCAGGACACTTGCACTTTCAACCATTATTGCCTGAAAAGAAAGGTCACATGCTTAGATGCTAGCAGGACAAACTATATAAACCAATGAATCTATCTGCCACAACAGCAAGAGCTGCACCATGAAGAGCTACATCTGCAATGCTTATGTTGCGATAGCACAATTTAAAAGTAACAACCACAATAAAGCAACCAAAAAAAGTAGAAAATGTTTCAAAATACTTAGGCATTTCTTTCTAAGTTTCTACATTAAATGCACAAATATCTTTTATCAGAGTGAGAGCAGTGTTTCTGTTTTTACCAAGAAAAATGTGGAAATAGGCCAGTTGCACCAAGAATTTTTAAAGTCGATTTTTAATTGATGGATATAATAATTATACATATTTTAAAAAATAATTATACATATTTATGAAGTACAGTGTGAATTTAAATACACATATACAATATGTTGCGATCAACTCAAGGTAACAGGCATATATGTCACTTTAAATACTCAATGTTGGGAACACTCAAAATTTATGAGCTATTTTGAAACATGCAATTAATAGTTGTCAACCACACTTACTCTACAGTGCTATGGAATATTGGAATTTCTTCCTATCCAGTTACACTTCTGCACTATCTTTTCTCCATGACTTTTCTTTTCACCCTTTCCAGACGCTGACAACCACTGTTCTATTCTTACTTCTACAAAACTCATTCTTTAGCTTCTATAGTATTTGTTTTTCTGTGCTTTATTTTACTTAACATGGTGTTCCGCAGTTCTATCCATGTTGTTGCAAGTGACAAAGATTTGTTCATTTTTCTGTTGGACAATATTCTACAGTGCATACATACCACATTTAGTATTCACTCATCCACTGATGAGTACCTAGGCTGATTCCATCTCTTTGAATGTGCCTAGACTCATTTTTTCTCTTTTTTACTGTAAATAATGATACAATAAACCTCACAGTACAGATACATATCTGATACACTAATCTCACAGTATTCTTGGATATATATCTACCAAGTAGTGGTAGTACAATTGGATCATACAGTATTTTGAATTTTTCAGGAACTTCCATACTAATTCCTATAAAAGCTGTACTAATTACATTCCCAACAACGACAGAGAAAAATTCCCGTCATTCCCTATTCTCACCATGTGCTGTCTTTTGTCTTTTTAGTAATGATAATTCTAACTGGGGTGAGGTGATATTTCATTTTAGTTTTAACTTGCATTTCCCTGATGAATGATATTGAGCACTTTTGAAATTGGTGCACATCAGTAACAAAAACAAGATTTGTCTTGATGTATTGATAGTCATATATTTTAATTATATTTATTATATATGTTTAAAGGTAAAATTAATGTAAACCTTATTAAAGAGGTAAAGAATAAAAGTTATGTGAAAGGAATGGATACCAGTAACCAAAGGATAAACTCCTTTCCAACCATTATAATGCCCAACCAAGTATGAGAGAGCAATACCTTAGCTAAGAAGATTGCAGCATCCATAACAGCTTTGATGTGACGAAGCCATCCTGAACTCTCCAGACCAGAGTAGAAATCGTTAACACAAAGCCCCTTGGTACCATTGACTGAAAAAAGAAAATTTTAAATCAGAATGGTGCTGGAGTTTCTACCCTTCCTTTTCAGTATCTATTATGATGAGTGAACTGAAAAAAAGGACAATAAAACAAACAGGCAAGACTCTTCATAAATGAAAAGATGCTACTACAGAAGTATAATAATGAATTTTTTTGATGAACTTTTCTGGCATTTTTAAAACTTTTTTAAAAAATGTATTTGGTACAGGGTCTCACTATGCAGCTCATAGTGATCCTCCGGTCTCAGCCTCCCCAGCACTGGGATTATAGGCATGTGTCACCATACCCCATCTCTGTGGCCGGCACAGTATGTGGTGCAGGGGATGGAACCCCAGTCCCTGCACTTGCCTAAGCCGGCGCTTACTCCACTCAGCTATCTTGCCAGCCCTGTCATTCTTCATACTTAAAGAGAAATGCTCCAATCTATTTTTAAAAAATGTAACCCAAGTGTTTAAAATAGTCATATTTCAAAATTTTATGACTGGAAGAATACCTTACTATTCAAATATAATAACATAATCTCCAGTATACTGACTACTCTAAAATCTCTAATAGCTATAATTTTTTGTAAAATCATTATAGTAGTACTAACAGTAACTACTATCTAAAGGTACCTACTGAATAACTGCAATGTAGCTAGGCCAAAGTGAGACCCATTCTAGGTATGAAATACACAGCTGATTTCTAAGATTTGATGAGAAAAATACCTTAATATGAAATTTTACTGACTATATGCTTTTACTTTTTAAAATATGATCAGAAATTTTTAAATTATATGTGACTGGCATTATGTTTCTATCAGATAAAGCTGCCTAAAAGATAAACAAAATCATACCTTCCAATAATTTCTGAAGGCTAGACCTCATGACATGAATATTTTCTATTCCAACAAACTGAAATCTAATCTGAGAATAGTTGTCTTCATTTTCATAACCTTTTCCCGCTGCTCTGTTGGCCATAGCATTCAGCTGAAATTAAAATTTTAGAAATTACGAATCAAAGTACTCTTATCTTTTAAATTAACTTACTAAAATTTCATGAAAACACTAAATCAGCCATATTTTAGCTAGGAGAGAATGTAAAAGAACTCACCAAACCTGAGTAAGTTGTCATTTTTAATAACCAAAAATATCAACACATTACTTAAAATAAATGATACTAACAGTGAAACAAACTTATTATATAAAGGAAAGACCTAGATTGCACAGATTCATGAAGCAAATTTATTTTCCAAATGTTGATATATTTCAAAATTAAAAAGAAGTATCTCCTATCTGAATCTTAAATGATTCAGAAGTCAACAGACTTTTTCTTTTCTTTTTTCTTTTTTTTTTCTTGAGACAGGGTGTTGCTATGTAGTTCAGGCTGGCCTTGAACTCACAGTCATCTTCCTGCCTCAGCCTTCAGAAGGCTGGGATTACAGGTATACACTACTACACACAGCACCAGAAATTTCTAGAATGAAACTGTAAGATTCACTTCAGAACAAACCTGGAGTGTTTGGTTATTCAGAACCACAGGGACTCTAATACTGAGATCTCAGCACCTACTTAGGCAGAGCTCAGCGGCTGGGGTTTAATACCCAGCATGCCCTGCAGGCCCCACTCGCGGGGCGCACTGAGACAGTGATTGAGACTGGGCGTGGCGGTGCATGCCTGTAATCCCAGCACTTGGGAGGCTAAAAACTGGAGAACCATGAGTCTGATCTATGTAGTGAGACCCTGTAGACCCTGGCCTAAATACAGAAAAAAAAAAAAAACCCAAAACCTGAGACCTCAAACTTGTTTCCAAGTACCTGAAGTCCTCCAACTGAGGACAGATAACTCAAGGTCCACAAATCATTTAACAGTGTATATCCTGCTATCTATCTTCAAGCACTGGGTCCTAAATCAACTGGTCTATAAGGAAAAAGCAGAATGCCCATGGGCCTATCCTCCTGGGATATTAGATCAAATGTTAGCAGAGATTAATTTAGGACTTGACATGCTTACTCCTCTCACACTAGGACCTCAGAGAGCATGTTACTACATGTTACTACAAATTACTAGGTATTCCTTTGAATGATTCTGGATGAGAGGGCATGTAAACTGGAAGAAAAAGTAACATGATTCAGTGGACTGAGCACAGATTGGTAACAAGAACAGTTAAATTGTATCTACTATTTCACTGGTTACTCAACACTTATGAGGTTAAAGTAAGGTTAAAGGCTAGACATCAAAAAGGTTTTCCCATTATTATTACTTGATTTTTAAGTTTAACTAGACAAGCAACCAAATAAGGATGTGTTTTTTTTTTTTTTGTTAGAAGACAACTGTATCAGGGCCATGGATATAGCTCAGGTCTGCCTGGAAAGCATGAGGTCCTGAGTTCAATTTCCAGTACCAAAAATAAGTAAATAAACAAACAAAGGACAACTGTATAAATAAAAGATATTGGGCCTTGAGACACAAATCAGATCTCACCTTCAAAAAGTCTCATATTATAATTGTGTTTTATTTCTAGTAAGACTTAAAAAAAGTTCTAACCAATTAATCAGTCAGATTATACAAGAAATAGAAGCCACTATACACTCTTAATTTTGAAGTCTTTTTTTAACAAAAAGTATTATTTTTAATACTTCCTAATTACTCAAATTAATCTACTGTGGTCTCCATTATCTCTGGAGGTTGGGTAATGATAACAATGAAGCTAAAGCAGTGACCATTCCCTCCGCAAAGCTGCCTAAAATTGCTGTGGTCTGTATTGCTCACTCGCTTTTTCTCATCGCTTTCTCTTATTTTCTCATCATTCCAGATTTTTGAAGAAATCCTCACTATAATTCTGCCAATGTCCTTTTGTGTAGCCCACCAGCTCTGCATGCGATGCTACAATAAAAATTAAAAGTAAAGTTAGCTATTACCATTGACTATTTTAACTACCTTAACTTTAGGGTCCTATATGAACTAACTTTGCTCATAAAAAGAAAACAGGGTTCTGATTCTTGTCTTGATGAAAATTATACTTTAGACCTTAAATAGTCTAAAAACAGTAATTTCCTGCTCACTTTAATTCTCTAGTTTGAGTTTTCTAATTTACAGCATTGTTTGTCCTCTCTAAATATTTCAAATTAACATCATTTAACGCAAAGTGGTCAAATTAAAAATTTTACAAATAGTAAGAAAAAATAGTAAGAATTTCTATTCACAACACACACATTATTAGGTATTTCTTCACAATAATATGACTTTTAATATACCATTAAGAATTCCAGCAGCTTTTCTAATAAAGTGGTATCTTGGCTCATGAACTTAATTCTTTCTGAGATTCTGGTTGCAAACAGAATCAAATTTCCACATAAGATCAACACTAAAACTAACCAATGAATTTGATACAGTTCATGCCCAACTCAGTTTGCAATTAGAATTGTGCAAAGAATTATGTTTATGATCAAGGTACTACTGTATATCAAAAGACATAAACTACCAGCTGGGTCAGAGACTGGTCTTCTAAGTTA